AGAGAAGTAGAAAGAGGGCAGAGGGTTGGTTTTGATCTCACAGGACTGGGTGGTGACTTTGATAGTTTTAATTGCCTTCATTTCACAGAGGTGACGTCCCTGGCAGACATTCTCAGAATAAATAGTTTTAAATAGACAGTGGGTAAATGTTCCGAAGTTTAGAGGGCTGTTTATAGGAAAATAAATGATATTTTAACTTTATGAGAAACTTTAAATGATCTCAGCGTGATGGCCGTGCACTCCACTCACAGTCTTTGGCATGGACCAGAGGCAGACAAGGTTGTTTCTGACTCGGACTGATGGTAAATGCCCACCTCCTTACCTCCATGATCTAATAGACATCCACTTAGTCTTAATGGGCAGATTCCCTTTCTCCTCTCGTGATGACTGTTGCACTCTTTAAAGGTGGAATTGCCAGCTTGTCTTTCCTATCAACCCCCCCATGCCTCCTTTAGTCTCCGTATCTCATGTTCACTACCTCTGTCCCTGGATAGAGGGGAGTATTTCGAAGGAAAATAAATATTAATGCTTTGCTCGGAATTCACAACAAAGCCAATTCTCCTGTTTTTAGCCAGCCCTCTGGCTACATCTGTTAGTGAAAGACTCTTTGTTTTACATTCAAGTTGGTGATTTACATGGCCGTGTGTGCTGGAGTTTGCGTGCGTGTTTGTGTGTGTCTGGTGATAGTGGTGATGTTGTGAAATTGAATAGAGAGGGTGAGTATTGATCATTTACCCCTGTGTGTTATTAGTGCCTGCTGCTCCTGACAAAGAGAGTGTGAGCCACCTGCACAAACACAAACTGACAAACACACATGTGCACACACACATTACACGCACACTGCCATGTTTACTCAAGAAATACAGCATGTTGTTTGCATGTTTTGACAACCGTAATACGTTGCGTCAACAGGGGAAAGTATACTTTCCTGCTACATAATATTTTATGGAAATATCAACATTATTGCCCAGAACCGGTGGTGAAAACCTGTAAAATTAAAGCTCCAGTAGTGTTATGACAGACTGGGTTATGTGTCAATGACTTATACGCGTCAAGGGTCTTTTCAAATAGAGTCAATTTTTTGTACTCTCCGCTTTCACACACACACATTTATTATTACAATCTGTTTTGTCAATCTCCTGTAAGTGATAACACATTTTGAGTTCACACGGGTTACGGTGAAGTGTAATTCAGCCTCTGATCACTGATATCCAAACAGCCACCATACAAGCCTCCAGGGCCAGGGGAAGAGGGAGGGTGCTGAAGCCAAGTGTAAGCGCTCTGTCTTTGGGTAGACACTGATGCTGGCGGGGGCCTCTGGAGCTTCAGTGGTCAGACAGGACTGAGAAGTCTGTCAAGCCCTAATTGATCACCCTGACCTGGGGAACTCAGGGCAAAAAGAGAGAACTGTGAAAGGATGCAATAGATAAGGCTAAAGGGAAAAGAAAGAAGGAAAAAAAAAAAGAAGAAAATGTGCGACCGGTGGCTTAATCTCTCTGGACTGGCCATTTTTCCCCTCTGGATGATAGATACAGCAGGCCTAGCGTGTGACACAGATGGATAATGCAGGCGTCTGGGGTGATAGAGTTATAAATTAACACATTACTGGACCTTAATGTGGACTACTGTGGACGACCTCACACCAACATCATCAACCCTCCAGGCGCACACACTCATACACACACAAACACGCCTACAGTCTCACTGATGCGTCTAGCTGAGCTCAGGGTGCGGATTGTACTCCTCAAGTGGCATTGATTTGTTAAAGTGCTGAATTAGCAGGAACAGTCCAGCTGCTGGCCCTTCGCTTCTTTCTTTCCTTTTTTCTGTATTTTACAATTTCATTCTCTTAACTTCTCTCCCTCCCTTCCTTCCTCCCTCCCTCTTTCTCTTTCACTCCTTCCTTGTTGCTTCACTCTTCTTGCTCAAAAGCTAATCTTTCCTCTGTCTGCCTTGTTTTTCTTTGCAAGCTAACAGGCACATTTTTGTCTCCTCTCTGTGCAAAGGATTTCAAGAGATCTTCAGACATCCTCTTCTCTGACACACGTTTTACTCAGTCACAAGTGCTCCAACTTTGCTCCCCTTGGTTGTCCTGGCAAGTGCCTGTTTCTACTTTCCCCCTCTTCTGCCTCCAGCTGGAAGGTTTCACCTAAAAGAACAGTTGGTTTTTCTCTCCTTCTTCATGTGGCCCACACAATGCTCGCCAGCCAAAACTGTTATGTCCCTGACTTTGAGACTAAAAGGGAAGTGGTATGTGTGTGTGTGTGGCTTGGGATTGGTATTTAATAGCCAGACATACAGAAGAGCTAATATCCAGAGCAGCAGTAGCCTGCACATTGTAAGGCCACACACAGTGACAAGGTTCTGAACGGCTCGCTGTATTTAAAACTCACCCAACTCCTGCGGAGCGAAGCAATGGCTTATACATCTACAAGTTAACCGCAGTGAATTCCACTGGTGTAAATGTCATTTAACAACAAATGAGTGCCTCTGGAAACGGAGCAGTGTACAGTAAGGGTCACTGGTCCCTCCGTCTGCTGAGTGTGTAGCGGTGTGTTGTACTTGGGCTTACAAGTCGGACAGACTGTCTGCTTTCTGAGTCCGAGTCAAGGCCCCTAGCCAAGAGGTGCAGATTTGTTAGTGTCTGCTCCATTATCACCCATCACTCTCATGGTTTGTGTGTGAGTACATGGGGTGAGAGAGAAAGAGAGAGAGAGCGAGAGTGGGGTGGGTGAAGAGATTGTCCCCCTCTTTCTTGCTTTCTGTGCTTCAGCCCAAACAGTTAACATCTGGTGACCAGTGACTGACCTTCTTCTGGTCTCACGCACACACACACAGACATATGCACACACACTAAGAGCCGGACTGCGTCCAAGTGATGAGTGAGTGACCACCCTCCTCCTCCCCCTCCTCCCCCTCCCTCCCCTGCCGAGTGTCCGTCTCTGCCAGACCTCCCAGGTCCCTCCCCTCACTGCACATGATTGGTCGATGAAAGGTTGATGAGCGACCGCTCGGTCCACAGTTCCAATAAAATGCTCAATAACGCACCAATCCCAGTCCTGACAGGGCTAATTGAAAACCCCAAAAGAGGAAACGGCACCTAAAACACACATACAACACACATGGGTGCATGCACATGCATCATTGTGGCCCAAAATAAACACATACCTCCATGCTAGTTTAAACCACACCGCTGTTTTTCAGCTATTTGCTTTTCTTGTGTCTGCTTGATTTAGTCAGACCCCCTCGTGCTACAGTTTGTGTGACATTTTCATTTTATGTTTTTTTCATTTGGAATCTTAATCATGATTTTTTTGTCCTTTTTTTGATCTGTGTGGTGTCAGCTCTGTTCGTTTAAGAGTGAAGTAATTAAATAGAGAAGCTGATTGACAAAAAAATTAATCAGTAAGTATAAAAGTAATGTATTCACCTATCCGGTTACATTTGTTTCTCCTGACATATTATAGACCAAACAGTTAACTGGTGAACTGAGACTGGCTGATAAAACAAATGGTCCACATATCTAAAACAATGGTCTTTAAGGAACACATGTGAAATAGGAAGTGTATCTGATTGATGGGAAACTGTTTATGTGTGTAGTGAGGTGCAACAAGAGAAAAAGGGTGTATGTGTCTAGTCTGCCGGGTGACAGAGGCATGAGCAACAAGGTCAGACTCAGAAGAAGTGACACATGCATCACAGGGCTGTGACATGCCGGGGTCACGACCTCCATCACCCTTAGCTCCTCTCTGTACCGCATGTTTTGTGTGTGTGAAAGTGTGTCAAGGAGTGACCGTCCCTTCAAAGGAAACGGGAAGCAGAAGCAAACTACAACCTCCGACCGGGGGAACAAGGATTGTGCGGAGAGCGGGTCACAGGCAGGGCCTAACGGCAGCGTGATGTTGTGACTGCAGCTCTCCCTTCGGGGTAAAATGCAGGGCGGGGACAGGGTAAGGGAGAGGGAGAAAGAGGGAGGATGTGGAGTGTGTTTGGAGAGGGTGACCGCATTAAAAAAAAAAAGAGAGAGAGCGAGAGAGAGAGAGCGAGCGAGACAGAGTGACAGAGAGCGACGAAGTGAAAGCACAAGTGGAGCATCTCAGCAAGAAAAACACTTAAAGTGAGGGATAGTGAGCGGGGATGGAGGGAGGCAGCCAGGGGACTGAGGAAGGGAGGAGAGGGGAGGAAGAGGGGGGGAGACTAGCGAGCGGGCGTGCGTCCCTCGCCTGAGGCTGATGCATTGTGACAGTCACTTAGAAGGATTTCACTTCCCCTAAACTGTGGCTTGCAGGAAGAAACACCATAAGTTGGGACAATTACAGGCTGAAGGAGATATGACAGGACACATGCAGAGGCGCAGGAGGAGGGAGGGAAGGAGGGAGGAAGGAAATGAAGTAAGGAGTGTGTGTGCGTGTGCACTCAGGAGAACACAATCATATCATCTGCTTGCATTTGGCGAACTGGTCCGTATACGTACGGTACATATGCTGTCCAAATAACGCGTGTGTTTGTGCGTTCTTGCCTGCGGGGGCTGGGGAGGGGTTGCTGCCTGGTGCAGGCCATGTCAGGGAGGGCCGGTGTCTCGCTCCTCATGGTACGGTGTGTTACCACATTGCCTCCCTCATTCCTTCACCTCATGTCTGTAACTTAACCTGGTGACGAAGGGCAGTAGGGAGAGAAGAAAAAAGAAAAAAAACGCAAGAAGTTGGAGTGAAATCCTGCCAAGAAAGCAGAACTTTTTTTTCTTTTCCGTGCTTGATTTCATTTCTTCCTATTTCATTTATTTTTTTTAAATACTTTTTGCATGCTAATAGTTTGGTCTTTCGTGTCACAGCTCTGATAAGTGTCCCAAATGTTCTTTTTGCTACAGTACATTGTGTTACCCCTGTGCGGCAAGCGCTGCCAAGAATGTCACTGTAATTTGAGTGTAAGTGGATTCCAAGAAATACACTTTTCCTGTTTCATTGAGTCGTTTTGCTTTCAGCGCTATTATGTCCTTCGTGCGAGTGAGGTGCTGGCGAAATCGTCTCTCGGTTGTTCTCTGGCTTGTGTCCGTCCGCATGGCACCTACATTTTCAGTTCACCAACAGTTCTGTGAATTCTCTTTTATGTTCGTGGGACTCTGTGTCTGTGTGTGTGTGTGTGTGTGTGTGTGCGCAGCGCGACAAATAATGACAACAGCAAAAAGAGCTTTCATTTAAAATAATTACACCACTCGACTGCTCTGTGATATCATCTATTCCAACACAAACAGACGGATCTCCTAAATGATTTTTTTTCTTTTTGTTTTCTTTTGGGTTTAAAATACGAATGTCCTACATTCTGGGCCCAGTTGTGATTCATGAAAAGATTTTAGGAATTTTAGACATGTAACAATACAGCTATGAGGTATTTATATGTTGGGCATGTAACCTTAATTAGCAGGTACAAGCAAAGATTTCTAAGGAAAAAAAAACAAAAACTTTACTAATTTCCCTTAATTTCACATAACAACCACTGACTTACTTGCATTCGTCACCAATTTGTCATCATGTTTTAAAGATACGGATGAACATATTTTGAAGATAAGGGTTCCCAGTAACTTACTGCAGCTAAAGAGACACACTTTTCCAATAAAGTGCTGCATAAACTACGCTTCAGCTTCCCGTCCTTGCCAGCTTCTTTTCCACGTTGCTTTCTCTCCTCATCAGTATGGCAGTTGTGTTTGCTGAGCTGGCTTCTGATAGACTTTCGTTTGGTTCGGTCATTTGAGATTTGGTATTAGCTCTCTCTTCTCTCCCTCTCTCCCCCTCTCCTGTGGGTTTTATTCAGATGCACCTCCAGACTGTGCTGTGTGAGGGGAAGTGATGGAGGGATGGATGGAAGAGGGAAGGAGGGGCAGACTGGGACAGAGGCTGACGGGTATTAGACCCCTGAACACAGCTGGGACCTCCACTATGAAAGAGATGGTAATGACCGTCTGCTAGCATTAGAGAAGCTGGGATGAAAGAATGGCCCAGAAACCCACTGAGAGAGAAGAGTTTGTGGAGCCTGAGCCCACGACTAGCCCTTCACCTCTGCCCGTCCTGTCCTGAGGACTAAACATTTTCACTTGATTTTACTTTGCAAACAATGGTCTGGAAAAAAAAATCAAGAAGGAGGATAGGGGAAAACCATAACTAGCAGTTAAAAAAAACAGTTTTCACATCCTTCTCATTCATTTCAATACGACCACTGCGTTGGCACAGCAGGAGTTCAGATTCAACTTTCACCGCACAGCAACTTTATCCTCTTTGAGTAATCAAATACACGCAAGCACACGTTTCTACATTACTGCTAACGGACTCGTTTGACCCTCCTTTTTTTTTTTTCTCCTTATGACAGCAGAAAGACAGATCTTGATGTGATAATCCAGCTTCGGCATCTGAAAATCCTTTAAAGTCACCAGTACCCATAATAACACATCTACACCAACACAGCACACAGCCGCCTTTTTTAAACGCAGTGCTATTTTTGGTCTGAACGCCTGCTAAAAACTTTCTAAAGCAAACAAACAGACTGGTAGGAGATCCCAGGAGTTGGGCAAGTAGTTGTGTTTATGTTTAATCATGGTACTGTGACCTACCCCTGCTTAGCTGAACCCACATCTTGGCAGTTATTAGCCTATAGGTAAAAAAAAAACAAAAAAAAAAACACTACTTCCTACTCCCTTGCAGCAGTCATTACCCATGACAGGGGTCAAGAGAGGTTGTGGCCTAAGCACTCCATCGACTATAGAGTCAATAAAGGACTCGTGTCTGTCCACAGTGACCCTCATAGTGATCCATTTCAGTGAGAAAGCAATATGCATTTGTATGTTCGTGGTGTTTGTGAGGAGATTACAGGTCAGCAGATTATGATCCATGTAGTGACTTGCTGAAGCGTCAAAAACGAAAAAGAGAAAAAAAAAAAAGTGTTTTGAAGTGCAGTAAGATTGCCTGACAGCGTATCTCCACTGAAGAACGTCAGTATTTGTGAAGGTAAAAACCCTGAGCTGAAGAGCAAACAATTTTCTGGCCCGAAGTCCATTTTTACCACCAGTAGCAGCGGCTCTCCATACAGTCCACACTGGCTTAAATAATTTATCTCCTCTTGCTCTCCCTCGATCTCTCTCTCCGTGTCCCTCCCCGCTTCCCCCCCCCCTCGTTCCTCTTAGCACTTGCTTCATTTGTTTGCTTTGAGGAGCTAAATCTTGTTTGCGCGTATTAATAAGTCAAGGCGGATTATGCCCCCACCACCGCGGCCCCTGTAGCGTCCTAGCCCTCTCTGCTTACACTGTATTTGCGGCTGGGTGGCTCTGTTTGCAGAATGCTCCCCCCCCCCACCCCAACCCCTCCTTCCCATAGCAGGAGAGGCCTAGTGCGCTGGGCTAATTAGATTAATTCCGATGCCTGTAATGATTGCTCGCCATCTATTTTTAATGACTGGAGCATATCAAAGAATAGTAAAGCATGCTACCAGCAAAGCCCGGCTCCCGGTCCCCCGGTGTGTCGAACACAGTCAGGGGCGCTGGCTTAGTGTTGGAGTGTTAGCATATTGCCATTGTGGGTGTCAATGTATGTTTGCATACATTTGTGTCACTGCAGGCTAAGAGCGAACGTGTGTTCAGTTTGGCCTCTGAGTGGCCGCCTAAAAAAAATAGAAAAAAAAAAGAAAAAACACAATAAGGACAAATGAAGAAATACATTACTGTCAATGACATGACATTGTGATTTTTTGTGGTTGTAATATACCGACTGCTGCCAGCCTGTGTGCTAGTTTAAAAAAAAAAAAATACTGGGTAGGAATTGCCTTATGCAGCAAAACAGATGCAGAACAAATTCCAAATCTGCATAAAGTAAACAGTATTAGTGTTACCTTTGTTTTGCTCTATCACTCCCATCTGTGGTTTTATTCGACTCTTTCAAAACACATCATGTTTTCCCTGTTCCCTCTCTCTTGTAGAAAATCAAAAGTAAACCAACCCTATAGTATGTCATTTAGCATTAAGTCATGGCTTACACCTTGCCGTCTCTGAGCAAGTGTGTTCATCACCCCTCTTTATGCATTTGAGATGTTGCTCATCTTTAATGGATAGATCTAAGTCTCTTCCCTCTTTCTTCACCCCTGTCTCTTGGCTCTGTAAAAGGGAGTATAAATATTTGAGAGGCAAGCAGTTCAAAAGTGGGGAAAAAGGGGCGTTTAGCGTAGCCATTTGGAAACACAAATGTGAAATGAGAGACTGTGAAGAGTAAAAGAGGGATGAAAGGGAAGGCGCAAGATCATGAGGCAAGAACCAGAAGTCATTCAGAACAAACCCTCTATATACATATCTCTCTCCTAATTTTCTTCTTCTGTTCCTCTCACACGCTGAATAAATATGTGCAAGTTACAGCTTTTATACACACACACACATGCACGCACACGCACACACAGACGCGCGCGCAGGGTAGATTTCCATAAAATATTAAAGGAGGTGTTTCCTGTAATTATAGCACTGTTTGCCTCTGCCTCAAAGCCTGATCTGTAATTAAACAGGATTGCACACGCATATGCCAAGGTAAAGCACGCACAAACACATCTCCACGCCCCCAGACACACACACACACACACACACACGCACGCACACTGAGCGCAGTGCAGACTTGTGAGTGGATCGCTGTAATTCATACTCTCTCATAACACATGCTCAGATTTGTACACACACACACACTCAATGGGCTCATTCATAGACAAGTGGTCATACACATTTAGGCTTGAGCAAACACACACACCTTCCACTTCATCACACACACACACACACACACACATTTTTATCTCGCTCCCACAAGGAAAAAAAAAATCAAGAGTCTGTAAAATGCTATCTTTCCCAGACACCCTATTGTGATGTTATCTCCATAACTATCCATATATTGATCCACCTCCCTCTTCCCTCCTCTTTAATTCTCTCTCCATCTGCCCCCCTCCCTCCCACCCCTCACCCACCTAGCCCTTATCTAATCTGGCTATGCCACTAATGGCAGCCATTCCCAGCCATGAACAAGTGCCATAATGTGCTCTGGTAAGCCGTTATGATGTGAAATGACCCTATTGATTGGCTTGCATCCCCACTGACAAAAAAGAAGTGGCGGCAGTCACTTATTACTGTTAATGAGCTGTGGGATGGGCCCTAAGTAGCATGTCGCACGTGCACGTGCGCGCTCACAAACATGTGCACACACGCAAACACATGTATGTGGATTCATACGCACGCTCGCGTGCTTTGCATAATTGTAGAAGCATTACTCCTACCTGTCTGTGTCCCGCCACATTTCAGCTCGTTAGCGATGGGAGGTCCCACCGTGTGGGCGAGTGACGAGCTTTTAATGGCTGCCACTTGGCATTGTCATGTCGCGTTTTCGATGACTGTTGCATCTGTTTCTATTTTTGCATCTGTTGTACACACCTGGTGTGTTTGTAATGAACAAAGCAAAATAGTGCCACTTAGTCTGACAAATGATACAAGCTTTGGCTTTTTGGGTAAAGCATGTTGAAGCACAGGAGCCCAGATGTGAGCTGATGTAGGGATTGTAACAGGAGCTGTAGCAGCGGTACGAGTAATAATGAGCAAAACAAAACTGGGAGGTTTGGTGAAACACCAGTGTGTCAAGGCCACATGCATAGATCTGACTTGGACAGTGTTCCGTGTAGACAGTGGGAGGGTGTGTATGCCACGCTGCTTTATGAATGGGGGGAATCTTCTTCTTGCTTATGTGTGTGTATGTACACATCCACTGCGTGTTTTTCAAGTTGGCAGCACCTCCCGGGGATAATCCATGGGACACATCCAATCAGCCACAGTGCATGTGCGACACATGTTTTTTTATTCAATCTTCTTGTCTTTTCATCTTCCGCCACCACCAGAACGCTTCCTGCTATTTTCTTCCCAGCTCGGTACAAACGAATAACAGATGTGAAAGGCTGGAACATATACTCCCCTCTCCCCTTCCCCTCGTCCTGTGCTGTGACTAGTCTGTGACAACCTTTGCACTCTCACTCTCTCCTCTCTCCCTCTTTCCAACTCTTTTGTTTCCCTGAAGCCTGCCCATCCCTTGTCCGCTATGTGGGGACAAGAAGCTGCACCCATCTCCCACCCGTTCCCTCTGGAAAATTTGGTGTCTTATTCTGAGACTATTTGTCTCTTAATGTTTGTCTCTGTGACCTGGACAGTTTTAGTGCACATGTGTAGACGGGCGTTGCTACTCATGGGTCCCCTGTCTATGCAGTGAATCAGAGACTAATTTATGGGAATGACAAGTCAACGTGGCTTCGAAGAATAACTGTGTCATCTAGTTGCATTTCATTGAGACACATCATTTTATTTCCACGGAATCCGTAAGGGGAAAAAGCTACAGGGACTATAATACAAATTTGGAGCCTCAAATTAAATATTGTTTGTGTTTTTCTTTCAAATAGTTGAAAACATCACAGAAATACACTGACACTTTTCAAAATCCAAATTTTGTCTTGGAAGTTTTGATCTCACAGTGGGATCTTCTGCTATACGTCAGGTACAATGTTCACATTTTCCCATAAAACTCATTGAAGAAGTTTAGTGTTTAAACCCTGATTCAATACAATTGCTTATTTATCAGCTCCTCAAAACAATAAATCAATGGCATATCAATGCTGCGTACTTGAAAAAAATGTATTTATGCAAGGCTGCGGCTACAACAGAGGATATAGTGGGGTGTCTGGGAAGAGTCAATATTTTCATATGTAAGCCTGTGAAATTAATGACCTAATATCTGCAATGAGAAAGCTCGTTTTAAAGGCATAATCCTCCCCCTGTTTCTTGGGAAGACAGGAGCAACAGAATCAATGAAGGTTTAGACTCTGGGAAATTATAACTGCATACGTACACACATGCATAGACGCACACATACACACTTGGTTATATCCAGGACAACAC